AGAGGGTTGTGGCTATTTCCACAGGTGATAAAGTGGGGGGGGGGGGAGGACAAGAACGGCACCGTAATTTTAAAATAATTTTAAAATACTGCAAGGGCCCAATCCTGATCCGTAGCATGGCAACTGGGAGGATGCTGTCATGTCTAGTTTGGCCCTAAGTTTTGATTTAAAAGAAGAAACAAATCTTCATATTTCATAGTTCCCAAGATAGGGGGAAAGGTAGGAAATATTCTGCCTAGGTGTATAGTAAGAAGCAAGCCTGTTCTTCCATTCCATTGTGCAGAGAAGCCTACACTCAGCATATACGGTCACTGGAGGTACCAACTAACAAAGATGATAGAAGCAGTATTGTTGCACTCCCGGCCTTGTTAGCTTTTCTCTTTAATTGGACAGAATATTAGGTAGAGGAAAATGGAGATCCAGCATCTAAGTTTCCTATGCATTTCACGTAAAAAAAGAAAAAGAAACAAGCCTATACAGACTAGATCTGATATGGTGGGTTCGAGTCCACAGAAGCTTATGCTATATTATGTTGGTGCTCTAAAGTTCCTTTTTCTTTTTTGGCTTTGCACGTAAACATTTTTTGCTCTTATTGCAGATAGGTTGCTGAATGAGTCTGTAGTGCTATGTCTTAAGAGTGAATCTGACTACAGATAATTCTACCCCATAGCTGCTTTACTCTTCCACAGGTGTCCTCTCCCAGAAAAGAAATAAAACATGACATTCTAGCCTCAAGAAGGCCAGGGGAAGTGCTCTCTTTGACTTCAGAAATGTCAGAGTGGCTTATATCACGCAATGGAAACCCTCTCTCAAAAACCATATGAAAAACCATACAAAAACAATAAAGCACCTAAGATGCATGGATGACTGGCTATAAATGTCAAGATTGCCTCAGTGTTGGACTTCCAACTTCTGTAGTGTTTGTCAAACCATTGGTGGCTTCATTCAGAGGACTTCATCTGCAAATAAGAAATGGAATAAAGATTCCCCATTCCTTGCAGACCTGGATTACCTAACAGTACTTAAGTCAGTTTTTCAAATCATACATGTAGGGATGGACACAAATTGCACGACGAGCCAAAATTCATGCCAGATTGGGGCTTGGTAGGTGATGTTTGGCACACACATGGTCTCCGAAGAAATCTCTGAGCTCTCGGGCACGACTTGGGGGCTGTTCGAAAAATGAAACCCACCCAGAAACTCTGGTGTGAAAATGCTAGACAATGGTGGAGGCGTTGTTTTCCAGCCTTGGAAACACAAATAGGGACCCTCCAAAGCTTGACAGGCACTGCCTGCCAATAACAGAATTCCCAATCGTCTCACTGGGACTCAGGTCTATAAGTGTAGGATGAACGCATGTTCTGTTTGTTAGTGTTATGGTTTTGGACAAAGGGTGTACTTGTGAAAGAGCTTTGCTGCTGGGCATGGTGGGGCCGGGGGCTTTGCTTTGCTTTCTCAGTTAGGGGCCGGGGGCTTTGCTTTGCCCTGGGTTTCTCTGTGTTGTGATTCGGTTTTTGTTTGTTTGTTTACTGCAACAGGGTGGAAAAATTGGGACTGAATTACTCTTTCACATAGCATATTAGTTTAGCGGGATTTTCCTGCTATCTGCTTCCTTAGTGGTTTCCCTTCCTTCATTTTTCTTTTCATTGTATTTTTATCCCCCCCCCACACACACACACACTGGGTTGCATTAAGATGAGGGATTGCTCTTTGGGTATTTTTTTCTTGGCTGCTTTTGGGGGGAGGGGGCACACTTGGATTACTGGAAACTGTTCAACTCTATGATTTCACTTTCTGAACAGCACTTCTATGAAGGTGTTTAGTCCCATGAAGATCTTTGTCTCCAATATACCTTAAAGGTTTCATTTTCTAGGTCCATAGACTGCAGACTCATGTTCTAGGACCTCCATTTCCTAATTTAAATGGCACTTTGTGAAGCTGGTAGATGGTCATTTTGACAGACATGATAGATGCAAGTAGTGTGCTACATCATATGAGAGAAGAGATGAAGAGCAGCCACAGATCTTTGTAAAGTGGGACTAGCCAGTTATGAATCTGAAACATACATCTCGTAATACTACTACTACTACTACTACTACTACTACTACTAATAATAATAATAATAATAATAATAATAATTCTTGGCATATAGATAGCAATTTTGAGTTTTCAGATATTTAACATTTTGTTGCAGCTGCTATTATTGTTGTTGTTGTTGTTGTTGTTGTTATTTCAATTTATACCCTGCCCTATCCCCACAAGTGGGCTCAGGGTGACTTACAACATAAAATCCATCTATATATATATATAAATGAAAGTCCCCTCACTGTAAAATCAACGTCTAGGTCAAACCCCTGGACCTAGAATTATGAAATTCGGAGAGAGTGCTCCCCGTACACCTGACAGGCTGTCTGTCAGGTGCAGCAGGGGGTGTGGGGTGCTTAAAACCATCATGGAGCCCACCCCAGCAGTAACACCTTAGCGATCCTGCTGGCCCAGTCTCCACAATGGCTTGCAATACCCCTCCCCCCTGCACTGGACAGGCAGCTGCCTGTCAGCTGTAGGAGAGGGAGTGGGATGCTTACAGCTGTCGGGGAGGCTTGCTCACTTCATTTTTTACACTACAGTCTTCTCCATTAGAATTCCTACAGCAAATGTTACATTTCAAACTTCACATCATCAGTATTATAACTGGATTTACAGAACTTAAATACCGTAGCAAAGCATGGGTATCAGGCTAGTAAAACAATAAAAACAGTAAAACCAATAAAAGAGTCGATGGCATGATAGACAGTATCAACAAACACCATGCCTCATATCAGGTGAATATGGATACTCCAGAAAACTCCAGTGCCCAATAATATCTAAAGCAGCAAGGCACTGGAGAGGGTGCCATAAATGGGGGGGGGGGGGTGTTGAATGTCTGGTGCCTCAACCAAAAGCCTGGTGGAACAACTCCACTTTATAGGCCCTGCAGAACTGTAATAAGTCATGCAGGGCCCTGATCTCAAGTGGGAGCATGTTCCAACAGGTTGGGGCAATGGCTGAAAAAGCCCTTGCCCTGGTTGAAATTAAGTGGACGTCCCTTGGGCCGGGGATCACCAGGAGATGTTGATCAGAAGAGCATAAAGCTCTCGGGCTCTTATGAAGAGAGGCAGTTTTGTAGGTATGATGGTCTCAGGCCACATAGGGCTTTAAAGTTCAAGACCATAACCTTGAACTGGATCCGGTATTTGATCGGCAGCCAGTGTAGTTGGTGCAACACCAGCTGAATATGTGCCCGCAAAGGTGTCATTGTCAGCAAGCGTGCTGCTGCATTCTGCACTAGCTGCAATTTCCAGATCAGGTCAAAGGGTAGCCCTGTTCTTGTAACAGCAGATTGTTATTCCCTATATCACAGATATATGTATATATCTCACAGATATTCCTGGGATCCCAGATCACCGCAGACTGTGACAGCAGCCATGAAATTAAAAGACGCCTGCTCCGACTGGGAAGGGTAGTTTAACTCTTCTCCCTTGCCATTTTCCTAACCTCAAAAGATTCCCAACTCCCATAGCTGCTGTTTGCTATCTTGGAAATGCAGATTGCTTGTGTAGCAGTTTTGGGGGCTTTTTTAGATCCAAAACATTGAACTGGTATTGGGGGAGGGGGGTTAACTGCTTCCGCTTCCCATGCCATGGTCCTGATTAGAGCCTATTTAGGAAGGAAAATCTGTGCATGAATGTGTTGTCTGATTTTATCCTCAGTCTTGGGTCAGTTAACACATTACAAAAGGGCAGCAGGCTTGGATCTCGCCTCAGCTAATGCACCCTATTCCCATTCCTCTACCTGCAGCCCAGTCACTCTCCCAGCACCTCTGGGCCTCTCCCATGCTCTTCCTCCCTGGCTTGGCTCGTGCCTTCTGCTTAAATCTCCCCCCTGCTGCGGGCGGTACCCCACTGGATTCCCCAATCCCCCCTCAGGCTGGGACTTGGGTGGTAGTCCTCTGCCATTCCCATTGGGGCACCACCTTTCTGGCTCCATCCCTCTTCCCAACCTTGGTGTTGGTGGGGTTAGCGTGGGGTGGGCTGCCATCCTGACACCCAGCTTCACTGCCTTGCAGGCGTGCCAGGAGATGCTGCCACGCCCGCCTAATTCCTTCTTCTGACCGCTGCTGCTGCCACTGTCCAGCTTCCCCTGATGCTCAGGAAGTCCTGGCTCACCTGGCCCAAGGACATCTCAGGTGTGGAGTGAGAAATAGGAAACTCTGTTGAGAAGCATTGTAGTGGTTGGAAAACACAGGGGAAAAGCTTCTCAATATTAACATCTCCATAACTAAGTAAATAATCTTCAAGAACTCTCATTTGCATTATAATCTGTACAGTCTCAAAGTTAACAACTCTTGATAACACCTGACCTTCTCCTGTCTTTTAAATTAAATATTTTGTTCTGTTTGAATTTTACATCGTCTCAAGTGCTGTTTGAAGGGTTTCAACCCAAGAGGACTCCTTATTCTTCCCTCAGGTTCCAGGGCTGGACTAAAAGCCAAATTATATCTCTGTGACACCGGGATGGCCAGACAGTCTTTTAAAGACAAAGACGAAAACCACGTTACTTGGGGCAGTTCAGTCACAGAAGGGAACAAGATTGTGGAGGGAAAATCTACCGCTGAGGGAGGGAAGTGTGAGGGGCTGACATAGTTCTCAAGAACTGTTCTGTGCTTTTCCTCTTCTTGGGGAGGGGGGGAGATCATGGCACATCCAGTTACAGTATTAACATGGTGCATGAAGCTAAGGGCTATAACCCATCAATTCTTTGTGGAAACTTTGAGTGGATTCAGAGCTTGTTGGTCAGCAAAGGTCTGCTTTTGGAACTGATCTCACCTCTTATGTGAATGGGAAAGCTGCCTTAATTACGGGCTCCATTACCATAGTGGACATTGGGCTTTGAGTAGGAAACATTGCCTTATTAAAGTACTTTCTACAGATTTACTAGTGTCTATTTTTTTTATTCTATAGGGCATGTAAAAAATCACAGAAAGTTCAAGAGGAAAAGCAGGACCAGCCAGTGGCCCCCAGCTAGCATATTATCTGATATAGAAGCGTTGAAACACAGCATAACCTCACAACAGTTTCCTGCATCCAGCAACAAGACTGGTAACACAAGGGGGGAAAATGGTCACCGAAGAACCAAGCGATTCCTCTCCTATCCTCGATTTGTGGAGGTTATGGTGGTGGCAGATAGCCGAATGGTCGCTTACCATGGATCAAATCTACAGCACTACATTTTGACGCTGATGTCAATAGTGAGTATTAAAATAAGGACTGAGGAGGGAAAAGATCTCACTAACTTTAAACACAGTGTGTTCAGTTTTTCTGAAAACTGTTTCATTAGTACATAGGGAGATTCCGGTGTATTATGCCTAATTAAGTATTAGCGATATATTTCAAAAGATCAAATACTAAATGGTGGATGTGCAAATAAAAAAGAAAAAATATAGTTCCAGTCTGTGCAGTTGAATACTTACCAACATAAGGTTTGGGAGATCTCCTGACACTTTCAAGTTTATTTAAGAATAGTGAGGGCCATGAATGGCTGTTCTTCTGAGGAAGGGGAGGATTAACCCCTTTCCCCATGCCATTTCGCAACTCTAAATTCTTTCCATTGCTGTTTGCCCCACTGGGAAAAATACATTGGTACTTGTATTCTCTGTCCCCTTCCCCCCAAGTGGGGCAAATAGCAACTTAGATCACAATAACAGTGCAGATTGGAAAAAATCAGACACCCGATCCCCCAGCACTGTGGTCCTGATCAAATTCAGTGCCCCTTGTTGCTCCTTTTAAAGAAAATTAGAAACATCCGGAAATCTGTGTCTCATCCAGTTGTACCCTTAGTGTCTGCCTTTTCCCCCTCTTCGTGGTTACAGAAATAAACATTACACCATATTGCACTTTAATGGTATATTAAGAAAAAGCTCAAAATATATAGCAATGTTCAAAGGTCTTTGTTTATTAACAGAGACCTTTGATTTTTGGGCTTTTTTCTTTTAAACTCAGTGACTGCTTATAAAGGCATTCCTCTGCTTTCTTTAAGTCACTTCAACCTTAGCTTCACTCCCTGGTTTTGAAGTGCAGTGAATACAATTGCATGCGTGTTATGTGCCACTGGGTTGCTGCCAACTGATGGGGACCCTATGAATTAATGACGTCCAAAACTTCCTTTCATCAACAGCCTCGCTCAGGTCTTGCAAACTGAGGGCCCTCGTGGCTTCCTTGACTGAGTCAATCCATCTCCTGTTGGGTCTTCCTCTTTTCCTGCTACCTTCAGCATTTCCTAGCATTATTGGTTTTTTTCAGTGAATCTTGTCTTCTCATGATGTGACCAAAATACAATAGGCTCAGTTTAATCATTTTAACTTCTAGGGAGAATTCAGACTTGATTTGATCTAGAACCCACTCATTTGTCTCTTTGGCGGTCCATGGTATCCTTAAAACTCTTCTCCATCAGCACAGTTTTCCACCTACTCAATGAAGTGGTTTTCTGTGCCTTATGGAAAGGAACAGAGAATGCATAGCGTAGTTCCAAACCAGCAGCTCTGAGTACCTGTCAAAGAGAGGGGTCCTCATATCTTTGCCACAGTAGAATGCATCCTACCTACCATTCTCCAAGCCTTCCTCTAGTCTAAGGAGCCCTCCAATGTAAGTGTAGAACCACTTAAGTTGGAGGAAGGTCCCCTTAGGTAGGATACATGTAGGGGTCATTTCGTAGAAAAAGAGGTGCAGGAGCTCATTAGCATAACTCATTAGCATAACTTATTTGCATATGCCACACCCCCTGACATCACTGAAAGTGTGTCAGAAGGCAACACCCACTGCTCAGGCTCCACTGGACTCTTTTGGATTGCTAGCTATTGAGGGAACGTGCAGATCTGTCCTCGCAGAGGAGGGAGAGCTTGTACCTGAATAAAACTTGGTCTTAAAGGTGCCACTGGACTGTTTTGGACCAGTTGGCTCTGCAACTTACCTGGCTGCTTCTTGCTCTGACTGAGGGTTGCTGGGAGCATGGGGTGGGGCTTGTTGCATGTGCCCACCCCTTGGGCTCTTTACTGCCGGAGCTCCGCTCCTTTGCGCTCCTGCAGGAAATGATCCCTGGATACATGCCAGCACTTTTTCTCATATGGGTATGGAGAAACACTGTCATTGTATTTACACTGGCCTGCTGGTTTTCTTTTACTTTGGTTATGTCTGTTATCGAAAGCAGCAAAACAGTAAACAGTTTCAAATTTTTTTTTGTTTGCTATATAACCCATTAACGTCTCCATAACTCTAATAAACCCCCCCTCATTTTGTCCCTTGAAGTTGTTACGTTACAGTCACTGGAATGATCTTCATGAAAACTGATTCTTAAGGAACAAAACTGTTATCTGTTATGAGCTGTGATCTTTTACACTTGAGCTTAAACAGACGTGATGATGACTGCCAGCTTTCTTGTGTGCTATAAGCATTAACTTTCCATAATTTACCTTTTGTGCAGGTAGCTTCGATATACAAAGACCCAAGCATTGGAAATTTAATTAATATTGTTATTGTGAAATTAGTCGTCATACATAACGAGCAGGTAATTTACTTGGGGGGGTTGTTTCCTTTCTCTCCACTTGACATAACCTAGTGAGTACAACACAATTATTTTGTTGTTGTATCTGTAACCAAGCACTGTACAGTTGGGGGGGGGGGAGCTAAACCACACAAAATGGGAAGGACGGAAAATACTTATTCTCTTTATGTGCATGTTTTAACCAGGATGGACCATCGATATCTTACAATGCCCAGACAACATTAAAAAACTTCTGCCAGTGGCAACAGACTCAGAACCATCCGAATGAGCACCACCCAGCCAAGCATGACACTGCCGTACTAGTGACAAGGTATGCCACGGGTGGAAGTTTTTGCTCCTTAAATTAGCAGTGTGATTGCCATGTTAGATATCATAATTGAACTGCCATGTTTGTCACAGTCAGACAGAACTGAATTAACAGTGTCATCCTAGCCAGGGTTAACCCTTCTAAGACAATTGAAGTCAGTGGGATTTAGAAGAGTGTAATTCTACTTAGAATGGCATCGCAATGCCTAGTTTTCAGAAGAGTCCAATGTGGAGGGGGAGCACCAAGGAATAATAGTTTTCCAGAATGAATGGGTCCCACCCTGGTGTCTGGTTCCGGTTTTGCCATGTGCTCATGGGTTGAAGACCAAGTGAACTTTCCAGTGGATCCTCCCCTCCCCCTCCCCCATGTTTGGTCAACTGGTATTGGTTTTTGTGATGTGTGAAAGTTCCTTATTAAACAGCAGTAAGCAATAAAGAAGACGTTTCCCACTACAACATTCTCAAGAAAAGGAGAGTATTGTGGGGAAGGATTTAAAGCAGAGCACGGAAGTGGCTTTATGGCATACACAAGCATTTGTACTACAGCTGTGGATATAGGCGGCAATCCAACATATACACACCCTTTTTTCATTTTTACTCTGACGGGCTCCCCGCTGCATAGTGTGTTTTAGACGTGGAATGTTTTAGTAGTGCAATTTATCAGTTTGAAAGGGAGCTGCTGGGGTGGAAATGAAAAAAGAAAAAAAAACAGCTGGGTACGCATGTGTAAGTTCTAGCACATGCCACTGGGACCTGTTTGGAATCATGAATGTAGATTAAAACACAGAAGACTGCAGTAAATGTTTGGCCCTATAATCCAATACTCAAAGCCCAATCTGATGCTTTAAGACAGAAAAACACCAGCTGTTTTTAGTGGGAAGAGTATGAGACCTCTGATCTGTTCTGTGTAGGGATGCATTACCTTAGTAGCATTATGGGAGGCCTACCGAGGATGTTATCACCTGCCTCCATATGTTCTAGTCCAGCCAAGTGCTGTGTGGATGAGAGGCATTGCTGGCTACCTCTAGGGCATAACACAATTTTACTCCGGAGCATATTTAAAAAGTGATTGGAAAGATCGATTTGATTGCTTCTTTGTTTCTGTTATGCCTTTTGGATAGTCAGTGGTTAAGAGCAATGCACAGCAGTTTACAAAAATCATGCCAGGCATTCAAGGTCTGCTTCCGAGTTTCAGGGATATGACAGCTTGTGCCTCAAGAGGGCATAATAATGCTCAGAAATATGAATGTGGTAGATGAATCAAAGCAAATGTGAAATTAAAAGACTTTCGGTAAACAGACCTAGTCAGTTTTTAAGAGCAAGAGTAAAAACCATTGTAGCCAGTCTTGAGCATTTGGAGTTGGGCAGGATATATGTTGCAATACATTTTTTTAAAAAGAAATCAGGTGGGAAGCCCAACATAGTATAATTAAATGGTGTGTATTGATTATTGTGTGTTTAAATGGTAACTGGTATGGAAATTAAAAGCATCAAGTCTGTTTTGCTTTCAGACAGGATATTTGTAGAGCTCAAGACAAATGTGATACTTTAGGTAAGCCTAATCTCCTTTTTCTTACTCTTTAAGGTAATAATGTTACATGTTCTTGATGGTATGTTGCATATCCGTATTTAAATAGCAAACTCTTTCTTTTGTTCTGCTTTTGATTTCCCAGGTCTGGCTGAACTGGGTACAGTCTGTGATCCATATCGGAGCTGTTCGATTAGTGAAGACAGTGGCCTAAGTACAGCTTTTACGATTGCCCATGAACTTGGCCATGTGTATGTTCTGTAAAAAACACAGATTTTTTTTTAAAGCAATGGGTTGCAAAACCAGTCTATAACTATAGTTTGTTTGGTATAAAATTGCACGTTAACACCAATTCTTGGCTGAAATATATAGCTTTTCAAGTAGAATTCCAATATTGATTGTTCAGCAATGATAGTTGTGATGTCAGCTTTAGGTGCTCTAGTGGAAAATGCTTTTAGAGGGGGAGGGTGAAGGCTGACATTTTCAATTTTGTGTGAACATTCCTTCCCAGCTTCCTTTCTTCTAGTGAGTACATGCAGCCAGGTGGAAAGCCAGTTGCCTATTAATATCCAGCAGAGACACGAGATCAGTTGTCTGTAGATACTTAACAAAATACATCAAAGCAGGTATTTGATATATTAACTTCATTGGCATTGCCTGTTTGCATACTGTGCTACAAATGCCAAATTAAGTATTCCCACATCCCATTCTTCTTGGGAAATTTCCATTCTACTTTAATATCATTGAATATGAAACTTCATTACAAATGGTTGTTAGGTTATACTCAGATTTTATAAATACAGCTTTTTAATCAGGGGGATGAAAGGGATATCCTAAAATCCAGTAATAAGAAAGCAATAAGAAAGAATAAGAAAGCAATATTTATTTTATTTCACTTTACAGTGTTTTAAAATACCTATCTGCAGCCTATTAAGCAAACAAATTACCTGAGTTGAGTAAATATCTCTCCTTATATATTTGTCATTTGGGGTGGCAAGATTCGATGTGTGGCAAAATCAGTTGGCAGCCTGAACCACCGTTGGCTGGATGCGTGGCGGGGCCCCGCCCACACAAGCCCTGGCCAGCCTCTCACCCTCAGTCTACAGGGAGACGCCGGAGGGGATAGACCCTCCGGCAGGCGGAGGCAGCGAGGCATCCACGTCTTTACTCCCTATGCACCCAATGGCGGCGGGGAGGCAGGAGGATGGGCCCTGCTAACCTTGCCGCACCCTGCTGCTCTCCAGCCCCAGCTGGCCTGGCCTGCGCCACCGCTGCTGCATTCTTCCTCACCACACTCTGGACGTGGCCTCCTTGCACCTCCCTCCTGCGCCCAGCCAATCGAGTGAGGCCAGCGGAAAGCCGGGCCCCGGCCGGAGGGGGGGGATGAGGGAGACGAGACAGCAGCTCCCCGCCCTATCTTGCTCTGGCCTCCTCTCTACCGGTGCCAATGTCACCTCCACACCGCCTGCTGAGAGGATGGAAGGGAGGGAGTGGCAGCGGACAGCCAGGAGGGAGAAAAGCAGCCAGCGCCACTGCTGCCCCGGGGACACCGCACACTGGTCGGGGACACCACCGAGGGAAGCAGCCCAGCTCAACAGCCAGGCGCCGCTGAGAGCAGGGGAGAGAGTCCTGGCCGCAAGGTGAGAACCCCGAGAGAAAAGGCTCCACGGAATGAGGGGTGGACTGCGGTGGAGGTGCCCCCCAGCCCCCTGGACGCAGTCACCCAGGAAGCCACTGATGGCCCATGCAGTCACCCCTTGACACCAGGGTCACCAGAGGTGGCAGGAGATGCTGGCCTGGGCCTCTGTATGTTTGGAGACAGCCCGGGCAGGGAGCCACTGCCAGGGCATCTCCTCGACATGCCACCCCCCAAGTCTGAGGGCCAGGTGGAGAGCGGGGGGAAGGGGGGAAGACCCCCCCACCTTTCTAGAGTCCATTTCATTGTTGCTGCAACGGGCCTTGCTCCTAGTCAGATATATTACTGGAGCAGTGAATACACTGTTTGATAGAAAGACCCAAATGTATGAAATGGTTCTGCAAGTTCAGTTTCAGCATGCGGTACTTGCTTCAGACATTCCTCTTGAGGTTGCACACTAATCTCTTATGGTCTTGGCTATCACTTGACACCATTGTAGGCCAAACTCCACAAAGAATCATAGAGTTGGAAAGGACCTCCAGGGTCATCTAATCCAACCTCCTGCACAAAGCAGGAAAATCACAACTACCCCTCCCCATTGCTCTTCCACACCCAGAAGATGGCAAAAAAACCCTCCAGGATCCTTGGCCAAACTGGCCTGGAGAAAACCGATTCCGAATCCTGACTCCAAAGTGGTGATTGGCATTTTCCTGGGCATGTAAATGTTCAAAACTTTCCCCATTATCTATCTGTGGTCTCAGCTGCTACCAAACATTCTCTACTTAAAGTTCTGCTAAATCAATAAAGATTGCTGGCATTTCCCAAGAGGGATGTGTTCTTCAGCCTTTCCAGATGTAGGATCCATTTACCATGGGAAGCATCAGACTGCAAGCACAGGACAGGAAATAATATGACATTGGAGTCATGTTACAGGGAGAGGGGAGGCACAGTTATAACCTCACTGATATTAAGACAAGGACTGTGGCCAGAAGACCAAGGCTGAAATCCTGAGCATGCTTACCTGGGAGCAAACTCCATTGAACATAATGACACTTAGTTTTAACTACACATGCATAGAATTACCATGTAAGAGAGCCTGGGACAGGAAACACAGGGAAGTGAGGATCAAGACCGGGTTCAGAGCTATGGAGGAATCTCTTCCAACCACTGAATGGCCTCACATCGCCCTGGCCGGAGGGGGGGGGGATGAGGGAGACAAGACAGCAGCTCCCCACCCTACCTTGCTCTGGCCTCCTCTCTACTGGTGCCAATGTCACCTCCACACGGCCCGCTGAGAGTATGGAAGGGAGGGAGTGGCAGCGGACAGCCAGGAGGGAGAAAAGCAGCCAGCACCACCGCTGCCCCGGGGACACCGCACACTGGTCGGGGACACCACCGAGGGGAGCAGCCCAGCCGAACGGCCAGGCGCCACTGAGAGTATGCATAGGATTGCCCTGTAAGAAAGCCAGGGACAGGAAACTCGAGGAACAAGCCAGGGGTCAGAGCTGTGGAGAAATCTGTTTGAATTTTCAGTTCTTATTTTGGCAAAACAAATGGGAGCAAAACCGCTTTTCTTGCCCTCTGAAATTAGTGAGATGTAGAGTTCCTGATTAGAACAGCTCACCTTTGGCTAACTTGTGTTCCTTATTTCTTTTATTTTTTAAATGAAATGCTTCTAGGTTGTTTTCCCTCCTTTCATTTGACTTCTTAACCGCAATTCCTAGGAATCGAGTCTTGCCTGTGGTTAACAAAACCTTACTCAGTTCATTGGAAGGGATTTCAGGGGTTCCACACAGGAAGCTCCTTTTTTTTTTTGTTCTTTTTAGCAGGGGGGCAGAGTTGGTTCACTGGAGGCAAGCTTAATGGAAATGTAAACTCATCAGCCTTCAAATTTAAGATCACATCAGGTCATTTCCTCTCTTCCACTTCAGCTAGCACAGCGGCTTAAGCTGTTCTGTCTGTGTGGCGTATTTGCAGCATTCTTCAATATATCATGTGCTGCACACCTCATATCAGTGGGACGGTTGTATTGATATTGATGCTTGATGGCATTTTTGTAAATGGGCTACATTAAAAAAGAAGAGCCAAATTCATCTCTGGAGTCACCTTTATCCCTGGAGACGAACTCGGTGTAATAGAATGACACCAGAAATAATGTTGCACATGGATGAATGAAGCTAAAAGTTCAGCTTCATTAGAAAACTCAGCCAGAAGAGTCTTACACCTGGAGGCTCTCTGCATATGAGGATTTATAACCAGTGATTAGCAAATCTCAAATACAGCTGCTTTGAATACTTTGACTGGTGTTCTTGTTTATGGGAGACACATAGGTTGCACTGGAGTCAGTTGCAGGTGTTGTTTCCTGGTATGCTGGTACAGTCTTATGCAGGAAATATTTTTAGTTGGGGGTGGCGCCCAAAGCGCATCCCAGGCTGAACTAGGTGCTGGAGGTGTTTCCACCCCACTGTAATTTTTTTAATCACCTTTGGAAATTTCAAATCAGTCTTCGACTTTGTGACTGCAGAGACTTTCCATTCGTTTATCTGCATGGCTAGGCCTAATTTTATATCTAGAAAAGAGGTTTCTCAAGTCCACCTTATGAATTGATACTTAGTCCAACTATTGTAAAACCATTTATGGCATCCATGTGGAATAAGGCCCTTTGTAGCATCCACTGTTTAGAGTAGCAATCTGAGGCTCATAAAGCACAATTAGGATGAAAGTGGTTTTATTATAACAACACATCATTGGCTGCATACATTAAACAAGTGAAGAGCCCCTTGTGTTAGCCTGATAAAATCCTTCTTCGCCTTAATAGGTCATTACATGTAGCTGATAAAGCTATTCCTATAACAGTTGTAACTCAGAGGGTTTTTTTTACATGTTGCGGGGCATATTTATTTACTTGCTTATCTAAAAATGTGCATCTCTGCGCTCAGAGGCTTGCATAAAAGTATCATAAAACACAATCATGAAATATAAATCGGCTTAAGAACCAGTCAAAGCTCTTGCCTGCACTTTAGAACAGCAGCATGTAGAAAAACAGATTGACAGCCTCAAAGCAGCGCATGTCGCCAGACATCAATCTAGAGCCAGAGAGCGTAGCCAAAAAAGATTTGTTGGGATAATACAGCCTTATACAGTTTCTGGAACTTAACCCAAGAAAGTGCACTTTGCATGTCCTCTGGGTCATCATTCCGCAAGTGGGTGCTAACACAGAAAAGGCCAAAAGGTATAGCATAAGCCAGTTTGCAATACTGTAACTAAAGTATGCTCAGAAAGAGTTGCTGGATTGCTCTAAGTTGGTGATCACAGACATACTTACAGATAGAGACATTCCTTCAAGTATTCGAGTCCCAGCTCACAAAATACTGTTTTCAGAGGGGGGGACCACCAACTGAAATAAACAAAGGCAGTATAGTTCTTTGAAGAGTGTACCTACAAAGGCTTGGATCCTAATGTCTATTTTCTGGTTGCAGGCAGGGTGATTTTCAATAGTTCCCTCTTCTCACTGCAGCCTTGATCCTCTTCATGGTGTTATTGTGTGTTACAGTGTGTCATTGACCCATGGGGTCACAATTTGTTGGGGAGGGGGGTAAAAGATTGCAGTGGGTAGGGGAAAAGTCACTGTCATCTAACAAAAAGTAAATAAATAAAATAAATAAGTGGATTGTGCAACACTTAGGTAGTAACTATAGGAAAAGTTGTGCATAAACTTGCATATAAACTGTCAGTTCAGGATATGAATCAAACAAAAGGACTTTTATAAAGCCTGTTATCAGCATGGGCTTCTAATACTACAGTATTTCCTGCCTTTGGAGGAGTGAAAACTCTTGCTTTGGGACAAAACAGATGACTTCTTCTGGGTCTTAATTTTGGAAAGCCCTAGGGCAAAGCCTGTTTAGGCAAAGATACTGCACATCTTTGCAGTGGGATTCACATTCTGGCATAGAGACACTTGTCAACAATATGTATTGGATCTAACCAATTTTTAAGCTGGTGAAAAGGAGAGAAAGGTCCCCTTTGACCACTCCAAAAGGCTGTGCTGGGGATCATGGGATATACATTTTATTTGCTTTCAATTTCAATTACATGGACAAAAGTCATGCCGGATGAGGGCTACAGGGGTGGAAAATGGCCAGTAAAATCAGTAAAAGTCAGTTTTTTCATCTTGGTCAGTAATTTGTCAGTTTTTTTAAAAAATTGGTCAGTAAAGTGTTGTAATCAGATGATGTATATTGATGGCTAATTAAAGCTGGCCATGATGGATTTCAAGATGCCCTAAGGGAGATTATCAACAATTCCCTCTCGGAGAGACAGTTCCCTAGGGCACTCAAGGAAGCTGTGGTTTGTCCCCTCCTAAAAAAGCCATCTCTGGATCTGGCTGAATTGGTTAATTACTGGCTGGTCTCCAATCTGCCCCTGGGGCTATCGTGAGGAGGGGAATTGGGTGACATTGAATGAAATTTGCTGTATCCAACCCAGTGCTTTGAATCTTACAAAATCTTGGAATCCATTGATCTTAAGTGCATGGGGTATGGAGGGTTTTTTGTCACCTACTGTATTCCTTTTGGCATAATAAACATCTGGGGCACAAGCCAGTAAAAATTAAGTCCTGTTGGGGGAAAAACTGAAGACTGAATTACCTGTTGTAACTTTCTTCTACTGAAATGTGTTATTTTTAAAATACTTTAGCAGAGTTGGCCTTTGTTTATTTTTTTTCTTAAAAATCTGTGCTAACCTGTTGGCCAATATTTTGTCTTTCTTTAGCTTCAACATGCCTCATGATGACAACAATAAATGCAAAGAAGATGGCGGGAAGAACCAGCAGCATGTTATGGCTCCCACCCTGAACTATAACACTAACCCTTGGATGTGGTCAAAATGTAGCCGGAAATACATCACTGAATTTCTAGAGTAAGACCTTAACAGTTATTTGATGCATGTGCACACTTTCTGGATTTACTACTATATTGGTTCTACATATCTGTGGCAGAGTAGTACAGTGGCAGATGGGAAGGAGGAATAGCATTTGTGTTTGTGTGACTGGTGTGTTGGGACTTGTGTTTATGTGACTGGTGTGTTGGGACTTGTGCGAATGAGAGTGTTTGGGAAGAGTGAGTACTTATTTCCCTTGCCTAGTGGAAGCCATTCTGACATTCTCTGGTGGCACCCCTAAGAAGGCACCCTGTTCAGCTTTCTCCTCCACAAAGACAGGAGACAGAAACTTTCTGTTTAACTAAATTAGAGGGCAGTTCTCACAAGGTAGCTGGGAGAACAGAATATTTTATAACGCACATAGTTATGGCCATTCAATAGAGCGGTCTTTTTCAAGCGACATTTGTGAGAACTGGCAGCGTATCCTGCTGGATATTGCTATTCATTGTGATTGCTCTTTTGACTAGGCATTTAGGAGCTTTTGAGAATGATCCTAATATGCTTTTGCAAATGCAGCAGTGGAGTTGCCTGTAATGTTTTTCATTCTAGCACGGGTTATGGAGAGTGCTTGCTTGACGAACCTTCATCGAGAATGTACACTTTGCCTCAGCAACTTCCAGGATACATTTATGATGTCAATAAGCAATGTGAGTTAATTTTTGGGCCTGGAGCTAAGGTTTGCCCATATATGGTAAGTGCATTTCCACTTCTTTGTCTTTCTCTATGAAATACTGATGGGCTTATCCAGAATAAGACACGTTGACATAGTTTTGCATGCACAGTTTCAAAATGGGAACAGTGAATGCTGATCAAACCTATTAGCCATACTGAATTTGTTGCTTTTAATTGTCAAAATTAAATTCTCCAGTATCTAAGATTCCCTTCACACAAATGCCCTAGCATGTGAAATCCACTTGCCTGTGTGATGGCACCATTGTCATGGTTGTAGTATTCACAGATACACCGTAATAACTGGAGTAGCGCCAGTGTCATAGAACAACCCTACATGATCACCACCATCTATATTTGTTTATTTATGTTATTTATAGTCTCCCTTTCTCACTGAGACTTAAGATGGACCAGCGGGGTGGGACATCCAGCAGCAGGGTTTGGACTGGAGAAATCTGAAAGAGACCTGCAACAATGCATAAGCATGTAAACTTGACACATTAAACAATCCAGAAATTGCATAATAGGAGCACCTTCCCCCCCAGGGTTCTGATTGAGTAGGAAAGACATGCAATCAGCCCTGACCACACTTTTGGAATATTCATACACATACAGCAGCCCTTGAGAAAGTGTGGGATATGTCTTAGATGAATATGTGAAGGGGATATATTTGATCAGAATTCCTCTACATGTATAGGCAAGTGTGACGGACTGTCAAGGGTTAATGCCTCACCAAGTCTGAGAACCTTTGAGTGACAGTCTGTTCAAACAGAATTCTGTAGAGAGGATCAGTTAAGAAATGACAGTTGGGAACTGACAGTTGAAGAAGAGACAGTTTAGCCCTGACTGGACTGGGAAAGTAGCTGAAGGAGTGAATGAATCACAGTAGATCCCCATTCAAGCCGAAAAGGGACAGAGCTTCTAGTCAAGAGAAGTAATCCTTGCCCAGTGGAAAGGGAAATAGGTCTACAATGAGGAGCGATCCCTGGTCTGTGCAGAGAGAAGGGTTTTGGAAACTTTCTTGTATGTTCCTGCCTTCTAAACATGAAGCGTCAGTGAAACTCAGAAACCTATGCTTGCGAGTTAAAGCTGAAACTGGAAAGAAAGCCTCTCTCCTCAAAGTTTCAAAGACCTTGTTGAAAAGTAAAAACACTTACTTGTTGGGAATATATTATCTGGAGTTAGTGTGATTACAAAGTTACCTCAGTTTTTATTATTGGTTCACCTTGTACATCCTACTCCTAATTCCACCTGACCTTCCCCCCTCCAAGTTAAATAAAACATTTTGTTTATTTTGAACTTTCAAAAGTCTCTCGGGTGCTATTACAAGAACAGAGCAGGTGATTTTATGGCCATTCAATAGAGCATCAAAATATATGATAACATGACAGGATGGGGTAGCTATAGTCCAACAAATAACAAGAAAATAGTTATAGGGGCTGCTCAGCAAGAAAGAAGAAGCAAAGGGAAAATCCTGTGAGGGAGGGAAGAGAGTGAGATTGTCATAGCAAGCAACTAACAGTATTAAAAGGGAACTTGATTTTCAGGGAGTTCTAAGATAGGCAACCCATATTAGATCCCCGTCCTCATCAAGCTTCTCAGTAGGTGTGTCAGGAACAATGTTGGTAAGTGTAAGGTGAAGCACATTGGGACAAAAATCCCACCTTCAAGTATAGGTTAATGGGGTCTGAACTGAGAGTGAAAGAGACCTTGGGGTCATAGTGGATAGCTCAATGTAAGTGTCAAGTCAGTGTGCTGCAGCGGTGAAAAGGCAAACTCTATGTTAGGGGTTCATAGGAAAGGGACTGAGAATAAAATGGCCAATATTGTAATGCCCCTGTATAGATCTATGGTGTAGCCTCATCTGGAATACTGTGTACAATTCTTTTATGTACAATTCTGGTCACCGTATCTCCAAAAGGACATTGCAGAGCTTGAAAAAGTACAGAGGAGGGCAACCAAGACAATTAGGGGATTGGAGCACTTTCCCTATGAAGAAAGGCTGAAGAGTTTAGGACTTTTCAGTTTAGAAAAGAGATGAATAAGGGGGAAATGATAGATTTTATAAAAGTAAACATAGGATGGAGAGAGTTGACAAAGATAAATTTTTCTCCCTCTCCCAAAATACTAGAACTTGAGGACATCCAATGAAGTTGATGGGCAGTAGGTTCAGGACAGTCAAAAGGAAATTCTGCTTTACACAGAGAATGATTAAAATGTGGAATTCACTGCCAGAGGAGGTAGTGATGGCCACAGGAATAAACGTCTTTAAAAGGGGATTAGATAGATTCCTGGAGGATAAGTCTGTCAATGGCTACTAACCATGGTGAATGAGGGGAACATCCACATTCAGGGGCACTAATCTTCTGAATTAATCTTCAGGAGACAACATTGTGGTAGGTCACGGCCTCTGTGCCCTGTTGTTGGCTGTCCAGAGGAACTGGTTGGCCACTGTGTGAGACTGGATGCTGGACTAGATGGACTACTGGTCTGATCCAGCAGGGCTGTTCTTAATGTTTGCAGAAATCCTCAGTCACTTGTTGTTGGAATTAAACAACCATTGATTATATCTTTTAGTGGTTTACATAAGTGGTGAATTCTGTTTGTTTACAAATTTAATCACTAACCGGGCCACTTAATCCAAAGCAAGGACATAAGAAGAGCCTGCTTGAATCAGACCAGTGCTCCATCTCATCCAGCATCCTGTTTCAGGGCCAAACTAAGGAGGGCCAAACTAAGATGATGGAGAGGCTGAGGTCCTCTCCTGCTGTCTCCATTGTAGCCATTGATGGATCTGACCTCCATGAATCTGTCTAACCCCTTTTTTTACAGCTATCTATGCTCATGACCATCACTACCTCCCCTGACGCCAAATTCCACAGTTTAATTACTTGTTCAGTAAAGAAATATTCCTTTTTGTCTGTTCTGAACCTGTTTTCCAGTAATTTCATTGGGTACTCCTGAGTTTTAGTATTGCCCACTTTCTCTACCCCATTCATAATTTTATAAATATTTATCATGCCTTTCCTTAGCCGTCTTTTCTCTAGACTGAAAAGTCCCAGACTTTCCTCATGGGAAGGGTGCTCTGATCCCCTAGAATAAGGTTGAGCAAGGTGGTTTCTGCATTCTCGGGCTTAGCCAAGTTCTCTTCCCTTATTTTATGATACTCATTGTTTACATTTCTTTTCTCGGTAATGGTAATTACTCCAGGGAGATGATGTAAAATGTATTTATGGGCTCTAGCATATGGCAGACTGGCTGTTCACTAATGCTCAGACTCTTTAAAATCACTTAAGCAGAAGCAGTGCAGGAGACTTTGGTGCATCAATGCTGATGGAGCACACAAGGGATGTCGCACTCAACACACACCGTGGGCTGATGGGACGGAATGTGGCCAAGGAAAGGTTGGTTGGCACCATCGCTATTTATTGCATTTCCCCGTGCAGATGGAAGAGTTCTTTTCATGTTGGTCTCAGTAATTTAGTTTGGATGGAAAGCCTTTAATTGCTTTGTTTCCTTTATACCAGTGTTCTAAAAATGGTTAGATTGCAGGTGAATGCTTATATACATACAATAGCCTTCCTCTCCACTCCACCATGTTTATATGGAACTTGGCACACACGGAACATTTATGCAGATGTGTTTTACTTGTGGCTGCGATCTTTTCTGTTTCACACCCAATATGGCATTGTTCTCATAATGATCTCTGTTTAAAAGATGGAAGCCCCATATTTCCCATAAAGATGCAAGATGATCATAACAAATAATACAGATCAGAAATTTCTGATGTGAAGTGATATTTTGAAACTCTCTGTATTTTTCTGATGTAATTTCTGTTCACGAGCTGCTTTCAGGTAGGGTCTTGTGATGTGTCTTTCCCTGGCTGTGGCAACAAGTGGGGCAGGAATTGCATCCACAGACATCTATTCCCTCTCTGGTCACTGCTTCTACTGTCCCTGATCCGTGCTCCTCCCTCTGTCCTCTGTTGTGCCTCAGCAAACACAGTGGCAACCTCACTAGGCCCCTTTAGCAGCTCAGAACTCCCCACTTTCCCCTTCCCAGTTGAGCTACCTCGTAGTAATCCCTTCGGCAAGGAAAAGGGAAAATGCTTTTTACGTGGCTGGGGAGTGGGACGTCAGCTGTTTCATGCTATTTTGAAAGTGGAGCTGTTCTTCAATCTCTGTTCCCTTAGTGGTGATAGAACATGCACATTCCATTGCAGCACACTATGAAGAATTCTCTTTGTAGCTAATGTTAATTTTATTTTTGATCCAGTTTAAACGGGAAAGCCTTGGGAATGGTTCTAGTCATGTTCAGAATGAGGATGACATTATGAGCATGACATTACTATAGGTGAGATTTAGGTGTCAGTTAGGGCTGTGCGTTGGTATCTACCCTAGCCAAAAATATACCCAAAAATATCTGAGCATCCCGAAGATTTTTTCAGGAAAACCAACCCCCCCCCCCAATCCTGGATATATTCAGGAATTACCAGCTAGATTCAAAAACAGCAGAGAGGCAGGAGCAGATTGCTCCCACCTCTCCACTGTTTGTCAGAATACGGCCCGAGGATCAACTGTGCCAGCGGGGAGTAGATTGCTCCCCACTGTCTGAGCTTCAGACTGGGAAAAGAAGAGATTGGATTTATACCCCACCCTTCACTTGGAGTCTCGGAGCGGTTTACAATCTCCTTCCCTCCCTCTCCCCACAACAGATTGCCTGTGAGGTAGGTGGGGCTGAGAGAGCTCTGAGAGAACTGCTCTTGAGAGCACAGCTCTGAGAGAACTGTGACTGGCCCAAGGTCACCCAGCTGGCTGCACGTAGAGGAGTGGGGAATAAAACTTGGTTCTCCAGATTAAAGTCCACCACTCTTTAACCACTACACCAAACTGCCTGCACTAGAAGCCAGCCCAAGGATGACCTTTGCCAGTGGGGAGCTGATGGCTTTGGGCTGGCTTCTCATGCAGCCCTGTTTAAACAGGGCCACACTGGAAGCCAGCCTGAAAATCAGCTGTGTTGGCGGGGAGCAGATTGCTCCCTGCTGGTACAGCTTTGGATGTGCAATCCCCCCCTCCAATTTCTTCTTCTTCTTGGGTCTTTCAGAAACCCCCCAAATCAAAATACTGCACTGGTATTGGGATCTGGGATTTTTTTGGGAATCCCATTTTTTTTGAGGGATCCCATAGACCTAAACCGTAAAATACCGGGGGGGGGGGGAATTACACACCTATGGTATCAGTGGCTTATGCCAGTGTGTCGCATGCTAAAGAACAGACAAGGTTTTTAAAAGGTCATCAGTCCAGAGAATTATGACCACAGCAGAAATCATTCAAAATGTTTTGTTCACTGATTGCCTTGTGCAGTTTGATAGCAATCTTAATATAATAATTGCCTTATGTATTGGCCATTTCCAGCTCTCTCATTGAATGTGCAGTGCACTCCATCGGCCTATCAACTGCCATTCAAGAGTAATTGCGTGCTATTGGCTGGGTGCTGGGTCTGCTCCTCTTCCCCGCCCACTACCACCTCAGCCACTGTTCCCTGTCAGAATAACTGCCAAACAGCTGTCTCTCCTGATGAAGACATATCTCCTGCTTGGCTCTGTGGGACTAACTTTTCCCTCAGTGGCTGTTGCTAGGCAACCAAGCTTGGTTCTGTCAGTAAAAAGACAAAGGAATGAAGCCCTTTCCAGGCCTTTGTGGGGACCTCATTAGGGCCAGTCCTGACTAGGGTTGCCAGCTCCAGGTTGGGAAATCTGAGGGATGGAGCCTGGAGAGGGTGAGTTTTGAGGAGGGGTGGGACCTCAGACAGGTACAATGCCATAGACTCCACCCTCCAAACCAGCCATTCCCTCCTGGGGACCCATTGTTGCCAATCTCCAGGTGAGGGCTGGAGATCACTCAGAATTACAACTGCTCTCCAGGAGGGAGGGGAGAAGAGATGCAAATCTGAAATCAGAGGCGCAGATAATGGCAGGTTGATGGTTGGCTGGGAAAGAGATAGAGTTGCCAACTCCAGGTTGGGAAATTCATGGAGATTTGAGGGGTGTAGCCTGGAAAGGGTGGGGTTTGATCAGGGTTGGGACCTCAGACAGGTACAATACCATAGACTTCAACCTCCAAACCAGCCATTTCCTCCTGATGAACCATTGTTGCCAATCTCCAGGTGAGGGCTGGAGATCACTGAAAATTACAACTGCTCTTCAGGTAGCAGAGATCAGTTCCTCTGGAGAAAATGGTGGACTCTGTGTCATTATACCCTGCTGAGGTTGCCACAGCAAATTGACACTGAGTGCCCAAGGCCAGGGCACTCTCCCAGAGCCTCTTTCTGGAGCTCATTGTATTTATTTCCACAACGAGCCTTATTCCTAGTACTTCATATTTACAGATCATTTTAAGGTTTTCAGAGAACCATATACACGTTATCTCATTGATCTTTACAACAGCACTTCATGTTTCCCTCACTTCATTCCTTTTGTGTTCTGGCATCTTGCTTTGTGCTGCTCCGTATTATCAGTTTAGCCAAGTGAATTTCCCAGATTATTTTCAGAATTGGAGCTTGCAGGGTGTGAGCTTGCAGCTCTTTGTCATTGCCCCTCCCCATCAATGTGCTTGTGCATATGTATTGCTGCAGAAAAGCCAACATGATGCAATCTCATTTGTATGCCTGCATCAAGACTTGTTGTCTTGTTTGGCTCTTTACTAATGCTCAAATGTGGCATTTTATTTAATTTTTTTTAAAAGGTCACACATGAAATATTTCGATACAACCATAGGCCGCGTTCAGGCTAGCAGTTTGGCCCGACAGCCAAACCTTTCAGGAGCATTTCACTAGCAGATTAAAGTGGTGGGTTCACACAGGAACAGCTGTCCGGTGTCCCCTAGCCATACTCAAGCCATCTTGTACCACTTCCCTCCCGAGTTTTAAAAGTTCCTGGTGGATTTGGTAGCAAACCGTGTGGAGAGCGGGTTGATTCCGGTTCCCTGATGTGTGAATGCAAGCGCTGTAAGGCGGGAACAACCTGCAGTCATTGATAATGGGCGCTGGCTGTTTCTGCGGCAGGCGCCCATGCGCATAGGCGCATGCAGTGGAGCACAGAAACAGCCACTAACAGCTCGCCAGGGGCGGGCCAACAGTGCAAATGCTCCCTTATGCTTCCTCCACGGTATCCTCCTGCTTAATTTGCTGCAATGTGAACAAGAATACCGCGACCAAGCTGTTCTGGGTCTGTTCCGGGTCTTTGATGCGACTCCCTAGTGCTGCAAACTTCCAGTCTGAATGCAGCCATAGTATGGTAGCAGTCGAGACTGATCTCTTGCAGTGTTTTTATCAAAATGCACTTGTACTTTGATAATGTAGAGTGAGGGGAAGGGTGCAAATGACTTGGGGATAAAGGATTTTAGCAAATTGTGCGACACAGTACTGTATACAAAATTCAGGAACAATGATGTATTCCCATTGTATCTGGGTCCTCTCCAGAAAAATGACCAGGTAATTTTGGTACTCCAAAATATGAAGATAAAATTGATTCAGGAGAATTTAGAAGACACCCTGAAGCTGCAAACATATTGGAGAAGGCAAGAGTAGAACAGCATATGTATTGCCTAGTGAATTCATGCTTGGGATATGTCTTGAACTGAGAGCTTCCTGATTTAATACTATGCATTTCACAAACTCACAGCTTCTTGTTGTGTAGTTTGTAGCTGCATCTGAAACATGTCATTCTCATGCATTCAAAGCTCTCTGTTCAGTTGTGCTGATTAAATACCTCCTGTTTTTGTGTATGTCAAAGCTGGAAATATGATCTAAGGCTAACTTTTAAAAATACAACTCATGAATAAGACCATAGAATACAAACACAATTGATATATCTATATTTGGTTTCCATAGGTAAAGGCAGTAGATTTTTTGAAGTCCTATTTTCAATCTGTAGTACTGCCCTAGAATTAATCTGGCACAAGTAGTGCACAGTTTACATGACAACATCTTGATTTACAAGGCACTGACATAAGAGCTGAGCTCAGTGTGTTAGAGAAGCTACCCTAATTGAAAGTGGATATATGACTTGTGGCCTCGCTTAGGCAGTCTGTGCACAGACTGAAGGAAACAAAAAGCCTTCATGACCAGCAAAGGTCTCCTCATAACAAGAGTCTTTAGTCGATATATATTTATTAGTAACGATTTTTTTTAATGCTTTTGGATTTAGACTTCAGTGTAGTTAGAACTTTTAAAGCAAAGTGTTTACTGTTTGGTATTTATACTCTGCTTGGTTTTGGTATTTTTGATGTAGTATTAAAATTTAATTTAAAAAAAATGACCAGCAAAGGTCTGATCATCCTCAAGCAGACATACTCCTTAGGCCTACTGGACATATTTAAAGTGCGAGAGTGCTGCAATGGATAGA